AATTTTTAATTTAGCCTAATAAAAATTCAATACAAGTCTCGTGATTGAAAACTAACCTTGTCGGGCCAATCAGCATTAGCTGTAAAGGCTTTCTTCCACAATGTTTCTGAGCTTTTACTCTTAATACCACCATCTGAAGTTTTGTTCTTATTAGACATTGTTCTTTTTTAACTATGTTCTTTCAGTATAATCGTAAATATATAGAAAAGTAATCGATACTCGTATTTTCATTTATTTCAATACGTCAAATGTTACACGTCACTGTCAATTTGACATTTTTAATTAACTGGGTTTATGGCTCTGGGTTCTAGTTCTTCTGAGCTTATCGTTTCTTTCTGTATCTTCATTTTTATATTCTTTTTCTTCACAATATGCTGACGTGTCACATTGCGAAGCTCTTGGAAATTTTGACGACAGCTCAACCCAGCGGACAGTTGATGACGACAGTCACTCAAGTTCATGAGGCGCCCAAGCGATCAAAATAACTTGTGAGGTTTATATCGACATCAAAGCACTTGTTTCGTCGTTTCCTCTAACACGCGCGGACACTTAATTCTCGTGTGTTTTAATTTATCGTCTTAAATTTTCGCGTGATTTGAAACGCTAGCCGCCATTCTGGTCTACTCGTGACGTCACTGTTCTAGTATTTTGCTGATTATGCATAAGAATAAGATACTTTTTAATATTTAACAATGAGTTATCATCTATATTATTGTTGTGTTATGGCTGAATGCAAAAATACGAGCATAAGTACGCCAGGAAAGTTATGGATTCAAATGCCAACTGATTTAAATATAAAAAATACTTGGTTGAAACTGGCAAGAAGATACTTGAATACACAGAAATCTAAATAATAAGGCAATAGAAGTCGTAAAAGTGCTTGACCTTATCGCCGCACATGTGACTCAAAGGCCACAAGCGCGCGAGGAGCGTTTGTTTCGGTCACCAGTGTTATTGCGGACGCAGAGACGTAAAAATGGTGTAAAAAGCATACCCAACTGCGAAAATTCTTCCACAATTTGCAAATTTTCAAATAAAGGGATAAAATTTCATAAATTACTACTTAGTGTTTAAAATAATTTTTTTTAACGAAATATACTTAAATAAAATTATTCATCTCCAGTACTACGATTGCCTCCCAAATCGTAATTGTTTTCACGTTTCAATATCCAATGACTCTTAAGCTAGTTCATGTCTACGAGTACGACAGCTAAAAGCAGCGATGGATTTATAGTATAGGCAATAAACGAAATTGTTGCGTACGTAAATTTCCAAGAACACGGCCGCAGGAGTCGATCGCGAGTCAGTGGCGTGACACTACTATTTTGTATCGATAATTTATTATGTTTTGCTTACCTAGCTTTATTTTTTTATTTTATTTTATTCAGGACAACAAACAATTGTGTAATAAAATATAATACAAAATACAGTTCTTATAAAAAGGGAAATACAATAATTACACAACCAGCACCGTTATCCACAAAGTAATATCACAATAAAAGTAATATAATAATGCACAGCAAACATGTTGTATGATACCACAAAAGATGAATAAATTCGAGCGTTCCCTGAGCAAATCCCAGCCAACACAACCACTGTAGTGGCTATGCTAGCCAAAACTTGCCTCGAGAAACAATAGTTGAACCATTAATAAACTATTTAAACCTTAAGACAATACTTTACTTATTAGTAATTTTTTTTAATATACACTTTTTGAACCTTACAAATGATAAAGCAAATATGTCAAAATCAGTAAAGTTATCATTATATGATTTCATGATACGCCGTAGTGGAGCTCTCTCTCCCGCGTTTGTTCGGCACATCTTAGGAGCAAATAAACGATGACTATACGTATTACGAATGCGTTGGGACCGACTAGGTATGCGTAGATATATTTGATTTATGAGTTGATTACAATCTAATTTATTATGACAGATTTTATATAAGAATAACTGATCAAAATATAATCTCATTTTTAGAGTGGAAATTGAGAATTTGTCTAAATGAGTGAGATACGATGACCATTTCCTAAAGCATTTATAGTTTAAAAACCGAAGATATTTACGTTGTACCAATTCCAGCTGATCACTATATTTTTCGTAATAAGGGTTCCAAACACAAGTGGCGTATTCGAGTTGTGACCTAATGAGTGACTTATATAGTAATAAATACGTCTCAGGCCTTTTAAGCAGATTACAGGTCCTTCTTACGAAAGCACCTAGCTGAAAGCCTTTAGCCGTAATGTGACTAATATGAGCATCAAAATGTAGCTTCGAGTCAAATAGTATTCCCAGGTCTTTTATTCTGGAGACTTTTTGCAAGGGAGTGTTACAAAGAGAGTATGTGAAATGGATGACATTAATATTTTTAGTAAATGTGATAGATTTACATTTTGATAAACTTAGCTGCAAATTATTAGCAGCACAATAAGCAGATAAACGATCCAGATCACTTTGCAATTTATAACAATCTTCAGTTGTGTTTATTTTCCGAAAAATTTTTAGGTCGTCAGCATATAAGAGAAAATGGGTGTATTTGAAGCAGGTACTAATGTCATTTATGAAGAGAACGAAAAGCAACGGCCCCAAAATTGATCCCTGCGGTACACCAGATGTCACATCTATCACATCTGAAGAAAAGCCATTGACCACAACCTTTTGCGTTCTATTTTTTACATAAGAAGCAAACCAGCGTAACAAATTCCCACGTATACCATTAAATGCTATTTTTTGTAATAGTATGGTATGGTCCACCTTGTCAAAAGCTTTACAGAAATCAGTGTAAATGGTGTCAACTTGGAGTCGGTTATCCAAATTTTCAAACAAAAAAGTTAGCGTATAAAACCAAATTACTTACCGTGGAGCGATTTCGGACAAAACCATGTTGTTCAGGAATAATAAAACTATGTAGATATGGATAGACAACGTTGTGGACTAATCTTTCCAGCACTTTTGACAAAGTGGACAAAATAGATATTGGACGATAGTTGGTGATGTCATTTTTTTGGCCATTTTTATACACAGGTGTAATGTTTGCCGATTTCCATGCCTGCGGCACTACTCCCTCCCTCAAACTGCGATTAAATAAAATTAACAATGGTGTACTAATGGATTCGGCGGTATATTTTAGAAAAAAGGGCGAGATACCATCTGGTCCTGATCCATTTGTCACGTCCAAGGCTTTAAGAATCTTAGTTATCTCATCTTTTGAGAATGTTAAGTCACATATAGGTACTTGAATATTTGAGTTAGAACTAATTACAACATCATTAGACCGATTTATGTATTTACTATTTTCGTACACTGAACTAAAAAACCTTGAAAACAATTTACACACATCCAGAGGACCGCTGGACTCTTCGTTACCGTAAATCATTGTATTAGGTATACCTGTTTTTTTTTTGCGACTATTTATAAAGGACCAAAATTGTTTTATGTCTTTTTTTATTCCATCCTTAAACCTTTTGCGATACAATGAAAATTGTTCATAGTCAGTTATGTTATGATATTTTTTCCATTTAATCCACGCCTTTTCTTTGTTTTTAAAAATATGTATTAAAGGGCGGGAAAACCATATAGGATAATCATTGGATTTTATAGGTCGCTGCGGCACATGCATTTTAACAATTTTATATATCGTCTCATAGAAACACTGAGTAGCAGAATCTAATGAAATATCATTCAAAATTGAAGCCCAGTCAACAGAATTAATATCACTATTAATATCAGAATACTTTGCCTCAGTAAAACGATATCTAGGTTGAGAAGATCGAGCCATGGGCTTATGTAATAATCCAAAACAAACTAGCGTGCTAAAAGGCAGATGATAACTATCTATCGGCAATAAAGGGTTAAGAGTTGGCTTACAGACACATATTGTGTCATTCGAAATTAATAAATCCAAAATACGGTCTAAGTGATTTCTTATATTGTTATATTGTTTACAGTTAATTGATGATAAAAAGTTAAACAAGAGGGTATCCAAAGAGCTATTATTATTGTGTACGCTTGGCATAAGTGCATACGTATCGTGTACAATCCATTCAACGTTTGACAAATTAAAATCACCATAGATGTAAATATTACCAATAGTGTGACATATTATTTTTTGTTCAAGCAGATTAAATAACATTTCATATGTAATAAGGGTCTGATTTGGTGGTACATATAAGCCGCAAAGGATGTGGTATTTATTGTCAAACTTAGAGTAAAACTTTAAAAATACGTATTCAATATTATGTGGCATGACACAATGAAAGTTATCACAAAACACAGAACTTAACTCACAACGTATTGCATGCAGACCGCGGCGCACGGCGACTAGAACACCACCACCGTTTGATTTACTGCACAACGCTCTGTTTCTGTCACAACGATGTACTACGTACCGCGAGTCAATAAATTCTTCATCAGCAATGTTAGGAACCAACCATGTTTCAGTCAAAATAATGATATCATAGGATTCGGCTAGAATATTATTGTATAAGGTACTTAATTTTGTTCTTACACCTCGGCAGTTTTGATAGTATATTGATAAATTACTAGTCTCTGTATCGAGTTAGAATGTTAATCCATGTTACTAATAGAAATATAAACTCATTAGCCAACATACTTAGTACATCATTTACACTAATACCAGCACTTATTAAGTTCGATGAAATGAGCGTGTGAAAATTAATAATACTTACATAACCAACAAAACCAATCACTTGAATACGCACAATATATGGAAAATAATTTTCATTACTTGGTAAAACATGTACAAATAAACATTGATTAAATATGTTGATAGTTAATATTATGATCATTATGGTAAAAAGTTCGTAATAATGAGTGATCAACGCATACCTTGTCGTAAACACACAGTGTAGTATACAGATCAGAGCCCACATACAGAACATCAGTAATGAGTTGAAATTATTATAATGTATTACGTAATTCACGATAACTTTACTTATACAACTATTAGAGAACACACATAAAATAATTATATATACGTAATTATTGTTTAGCGATGTATGGTATAAGTTTCGAAATGTCCTTTTCTGAGCGAATTGCAATCGCAGGCGTGGGAACATCAGCTCGAGCAAGTATAACCCCGTGCTTGATCCAAACGAACCTATATCTATTTTGTTTGGCAATATCCCGAACTTGTCGAAATAACTTTTTAGATTGTAGTGTTAGATGTTCATTTACATAAACTTTTTGAGGAGAACCTTGTATGTTAATCTGATCAGATGTGACACCTTTGTTCAAACGTACTGCGGAGATGAAGTTGTCTCTAGTAATTTGGCTGGCAAATTTAACTATTACGTTCTTTGGCCGTGAGCTGTTTGGGTTACTCTGGGGGACACGATGGATGGAGACGATATCACGTGCAGATACAGGTTGTTTTATTACATTTGCGATATTTTCAATGATAGACATAAGGTTCTCTCCACGTTTGTCAGGAAGATTACTTATTTCTGCATTACAATTCCGCGCTCTCTGTTCAATGTAGTCAAGTTTCGCCTCCAAGTAAGCAATACGTGGTTCATTTGTTTGGACGCTTTTTTCAATTATTTCTACTCGGCTCTTAACCTCATGCGTACATTTTTCAAGATCGTCGTATTTATCGCTAATATATTTAATGGATGTCTTCATACTCGCAAACTCATTGAGCAATTTGGTAAATTTGTCATCTTGCTTAGTAAACCAGGTCTCCAGCATGGATAGCATATTTTCTTGGAAGGACTTAAATTCATGGCAGAAACCGATCTCTTGGCTAGATACTCCTTTACGAAACGTAATGTAGGGTGGCGGGGACTCCTTATCAATAAGCGATCCATCTATACTCATTTCACGTGACCTCGGTTCCACTTCATGAATAAAGGTACTGTTTGTAGTGTTCGACATAATGATCGAGCTCTCTGATTACAAGCTACTCTGTGCACGATGCAACTCGTAGTCGGACGTTCGCGCCTAGCGACAACACGTAAATTACGCCACACGGATACAAGTATACTTATCAGCGGAGTAAAAGAAAACAACCGGTTTGCGACAGCGCTCGACGCGGAATGAGCTTTACAGAAATTCTTTCTAAATATTTTATACCGTTAACTTTTAATCAGCGATTATTATCTGTTAGTACTTTTGAATTACTTTATAAACTTTTGTGCAATTTAATATATCGTAAGGATAAGTAATTATATTGTTAGGATGGTAGACTAAATTCGATCTGTAAGAAGCCGGGTAACTGAAATACAACAAACAAAAGAAAGTCAGTTACAGATCTTAAAAAGTAATAAAAAAAGATTTAAATATGTCACCCATATATGTATTTATTTGTTTGCAGTTTGTGTAATGTTGTATTCATTTTATTTATAAATCTGTTTATTTAATACAATGCTATTATTCCAGGTTTCCAAAAGATCCTGATATTAAAGATAAATGGATATACTTATCCTTAACGTTTTATTTTATCCCCTTTTCTTTAATTATAAAACGTCTAAAAGCCAAAGTTAAGACTAAAAGCGTCTATTTTGAGACACTTTCAATTAATTAGTTATATCTTGGTGTGAGACTCCTGGACGATAAACAACGCTTAATAGAAAGTTATCGAAACGTGCGTTGCGCTGCACTATGCCCAATTGAGGGTGAGCGCGCAATGTCATTCTCTGTTTTTCGCACACGTTAATTATTGGACCAAGCGGCTACGCCTCGTGAGATTTTGCGTTTTTATAAAATATTCCTTAACGCAATAATTTATAGTTTAATCTTTGTGGCATGAATGCTAGAGATATGTGTAGGTGAAATTGTGTATTTATTGTTTGTCTATGTGTAATAGCTACGAACCGGCGACACGCGTCCTGATATTAAAAGGCAGTAGAAGGCATTTGTAGTAGTAGATTTCTGTGCCTGAATACATTGTCTACAAAAACTAGACTATTCTTCTGTGACGATCATTTTGATGTAAGTATGACTTATATTTAACTATCGTTTATATAAAACAAAACATCATGAGGTGAAGAGTATCGCAAGACAAATTTTGTAATAAATTACGTTAACTTAGATATTATAACTACCTAAAAATTGTAATTATAGATAAATTAAACTATGTTTTATCAAAATACACTCTGACCTGGTATTGTTACTGTTACTGTATTGTGTTTTTGTATAAACTAAAGCTGGTAACAACAGAACGAAAATTGGGATCGCATGCAAACATTTTTACCACCATCAATCTATTTATCTTTGGTAGATTAGTACTTTCTGCTTTTAAGAATTTATCTTCCATGATACCGTTTCAATAAATTCAGAATAAAACTGAATAATCGTAAAAAATCGAATTCAATTATCTACCGAAAAATCTTCGATACAAGCCCCAATATCTCCAAAGTTCTACATCATTTTGACGTTAATATCAAAATAATCATCAACATTTGCTTAAACTCTACCATGATTTTTACTTTTTAAATCGTTACTATTATTTTTAATTAACTAAATAAAAGTACCATATATTTCACTGCGCCGGCCCTCTGCGTTCAATAGAGCGCGAGCGCTTGTCGAGGTCGTACCTGATTTTATTTCGCGCGCTCGATCTCGTTTCGATATTATCGTAATGGGCGTCGAAGGCCGTGGCTAGCGTTGCCAGGCGTCCGGATAAAGCCGGCCGCAGTCAGGCTTTTTGATTGCGTGTCCGGCCAAATTAGTGGTCTGTCCGGCTCTTCTGGCTTTTGTTAGGCTTTTTAAGGAGACAATCGATTTTGGACCAACTAGATATTTTAACGTAATTAAACTCATAAAAAACGTACCAATTTACTATAGTAACTGGCTAAAGATTTTATGAAAATCTAACCGGCTCGGTATCAATACCTACATATAAATCACCGCATTCATGAACTGTTTTCTCCGGAACTACTAAAAATATTATTTTAGTAGTTCTGGAGAATCCACCTAGTATTTAATAATTTGAAGAACCTACAACTTTTTTATACTTTTGGAACGAAGTTCCTTATTTATTGATTACTTATTTATTGACGCATGATGATGACAAAGACGATAATGGTAATGACGACGATGATGATGACATTGATGATGACGATGACGATGATGATGATGACGAAGATGATGGTGACAATGACGATGACCATGACGATGACGACGACGATGACGATGACGATGTCAATGACAGATGATGATGATGATGACGATCATGATGATGATGACGATGATGATACTGATAATGACGATGGCGATGATGACATTGATGATGACGATGGCGATGACGAATATGATGACAAGTGATGATGACGATGACAAGATGATAACTACGACGACGACGATGATGATGATGATGATGGTATCGATGACGAGGACGATGATAATGACGATGATGATGACAATGACGATGATGATGATAATGACGATGACGGTGACGATGACGGGACGATGACGATGATGATGATGATATGACAATGATGATGACGATTACGATGATGATGATGATGAGGATAATGATGATGACGATTACGATGATGATGATGATAATTATGATGATGATGACTATGACGAATTCGATGACTATGACAATGACGATGACGATGATGGTGTCGATGAAGTCGAATGAACGAAGTCGATGTCGGTGAAGATAAAAAATCTCCATCTTTTGGTTTTGTAGTGAATCAGCACTAGCTAAGTAACGCCAACATTCTTGCTCTATTGGATTACCTTGAATCCCTTGGCATGAACTAATACTATGTTTTCTCGACAGTTTACGCAAGAATGATGTATCGGTTACATTACTGGTGCTTGTATTGCCAGCATTTTCGGCTAAAGCTTCTGGCTCGTTATTGAAATTCATGACTTCTCTTATGTACGAGGAAAGGAAGGATGATCTGGTCATATTCTCGTTTTCTAGAAATGACGATGATGATGACGATGTCAATGACGATGACAATGACGATGATGAGGTCGGTGATGATGACGACTTCGACGAAAATGATGATGTTGGTGATGATGATTGGTCATGACATTGGTGATGACGATGACGATAATGATGACGATGATGATGACGGTGCCGATGACGATGATGGTGACGACGACGATGATGATGAGGATGGCGATGATAATAGATGATGACTACATGATAAAGATATGATGATGATGATGATGATGCTGATGATGACACAAATGATGATGACGACAAAGACGATAATGGTAATGACGACGATGATGATGACATTGATGATGACGATGACGATGATGATGATGACGACAAAGATGATGGTGACAATGACGATGACCATGACGATGTCGATGACGATGATGATGACGATGATGATGATGACGACGATGATGATACTGATAATGACGATGGCGATGATGACATTGATGATGACGATGGCGATGACGAATATGATGACAATGATGATGATGATGATGATGACGATGACAATGATGATAACTACACGACGACGATGATGATGATGATGATGGTATCGATGACGATGACGACGATAATGACGATGATGATGACAATGACGATGAAGATGATAATGACGATGACGGGGGAACGATGACGATGATGATGATGATGATGACAATGATGATGACGATTACGATGATGATGATGAGGAGGAGGATAATGATGGTGACGATTACGATGATGATGATGAAATGATGATGATGATGATGATCTATGACGATTACGATGATGATGATGATAATATGATGATGATGATGACTATGACGAATTCGATGACTATGACAATGACGATGACGATGATGGTGTCGATGAAGTCGAATGAATGAAGTCGATGTCGGTGAAGATAAAATATCTCCATCTTTTGGTTTTGTAGTGAATCAGCACTAGCTAAGTAACGCCAACATTCTTGCTCTATTGGATTACCTTGAATCCCTTGGCATGAACTAATACTATGTTTTCTCGACAGTTTACGCAAGAATGATGTATCGGTTACATTACTGGTGCTTGTATTGCCAGCATTTTCGGCTAAAGCTTCTGGCTCGTTATTGAAATTCATGACTTCTCTTATGTATGAGGAAAGGAAGGATGATCTGGTCATATTCTCGTTTTCTAGAAATGAATCAATTTCAGTCAGACTCATAAAGCGGTTATCCAAGAGTTCTGCTGCAACAATGGGCTTTTTTTCCATCATGTTGCGTTTTAAGCGTAACATTAATAGTGCCTCATCATCTTGATTTGGATTTAAAACGTCTATAATCTCAGAACGGAACACCAGAGCAACATTCATTGTGCGTGTTTTCTGAGACAACAAGATTTCGACGGCTTCGCGAAAGCTTCTTAAAAATTTTACCAATTCTTCTAAAAGTATCCACTCACTATGCGTTATTCTGAGTTCTTCTTGGCCAATCTTTCTCAACATATTATTTATAGGTTCTTGGTTGCATACGTGGATTATACTTTCTAGCATTTCTAAAATCCTGTGCCAACGAGTTGGGGTTGCGGTTTTGATTGTTGGAATATGTTTGTAGTTTTCGGTTCCTCATGGTTAGGCATTGTCTTCAATTTCGGTTTCTTCGGCATTTTCTAGTATTAGATCAACTTCAGGAACAGGGTCGCTCTCGTCACTTTCTAACGTTTCAACGAGCTTGCAACTCTGGGGCGCGATATCTCACAGCCTTGACGACTTTTTGCATTTCTGAACTAGTAGTGCAATTTCTGGAACCAAGTTTATGCCATCGACTGTCACCAGATTGTGAAGCCCATGACCTAGACATAGATGGTGAGTCAAATTCACCATCCCAACTGCTCGTTTCACATTACTTCCAGCATCAGTGTCTGCAATAATCGCTTTGCCGTCCAATGTATACCTCTTCTTTATGCCCTCAATAGTATCATTAATTTTTTCTCCGGTTATTTTGATTATTACTATGCTCAAAGTCAAAGCTTTTAAGACAAAGACTGAAAATAAAAATCATTATACTTAGTTGATCTTACTGTTCAAGGTGATATTCATACTGTAATCTAGCTACCTTCATATCTATTCTACACAGATGCCGACGTGTCGCAAAGAAAGAACAAAAAAATTACCTGTAGTTTAAATAATGCAGTGTGAACGTAGTGTGAATTACGTCGTTTAATTCTCCTTGCCCGATTACCCACGACTAATTAAAGTCGAGTATGGATCTAGAGGAAATAGCAGATCATCCTGACGTCCCTTTAAATACATATACAATAATATTGGCAGAGTTCCATTTTCAAAATTTGAACTTATTTTTTTATTATATCGTTTACAAGTGGCCGGTTCTAAAAACTTGCTAGCTGTGGAAAAAGCTCTTTCAGACTCAACAATGGTCGGCGGTATGGAAATCTGTTCCGAATTTTCTTTAGGACTTCTCCACGACCTCCACCGTTTCCAAATAAAGTCATTTCAACGTGAAATAGTTGTGCTGATTACACTCGTTGACTTGTGTTGATGATCACTACCCACATTTGCAAGAGAAAGTTGACGTTTAACTTTTCTTTAAAACTGAGCGACGATGGATCAGAACTATCGCACAGATTTTCTGAAATAGATTTCGTATTAGTCGACGTGGTCGTGCAATTGTCAACATCCAGGGATGCAGCTTGATAGATCACATTTTTAATTTCATCATACGTAGGTTTTTTAAATGAATCTTCGTCTTCCTCAGTCTCATTTAAGGTTACACTAGTTGCTCATTCTTCCATACAAACGTAGTCTGGCGATTACTCCACTGCTTGATGGTGTACGTTCAAAATAAAAAATTCTCATTCTCATCATTATCTAGCCCTGTATGGAAATAAAAAAAGTAAAAAAAGAGTATGTTTAAAAGTTATAAGCGTCGAAAATTCTAAATTTCAACACTGGAAATAAATACCATAAGAAGAACGAAAATTGCAAAACAGTTACCATACAGGGATAGATTAGTTGTTCAAAAATGCAAATAATTTTATTTTGTACAGATACATTCAAAATATTTTTCATGACATCCAGACTCCCAAAGGTCTGTTTATAAAATTTCGCGCGCTCCTTTTTGTTGTAAATCATCTTTCCTTTCGCTACAAATTATTTCCCCGATCAGTGAGACGGACTCACTAGGTTAGCCGCTGCTATCTATTTATGGTTGTAATACCCACATATTTACATACTTTATTTAGAAAAATTGCTTCCTTTTGTTCGTGTCCACTTGCTGAAGCCGGGATGAATATAGCTGGTAAAATGTACCCATAAGTTTGTTGAAGCACATGCAGTTAAAATTGAAAACAGGTAGGTGCATAATAATGAACTTTCGATACAGGTAGTACATTACGTACTTAAGTTTAATTTGCCAACTAACGAAAACATCTCATTGATAAGCACGATTGTCGAAAATCTTAAAATTATCTATAAACAAAAGTAGCTTAATTCGTATAACAAGAACAGATTTGAGGGGGCCCCGGGAAACATCCGAGAAGAACAACCCCACCCACAGGAGCCACCTAAAAATTCATTAGAATAGGTAATTTTTAGATTTTCTATTATTAGATAATTGTGCTTACGTATATTACGTATACGAATTTCATATCCTAATATGCCTAATGTAATTTATGTAAGTACATAAGAATCTAAGAAGGGCAGTCAATGATAAATAAAATTTGTTTTGTAAGTTGTTTTTTTTAAAAAACACTTTAACACAACAAAAACATGAAACTGAGAAGAAGCACCCGATCTGCCGAAACAAACTCAGAGAGGTCAGTCCAGGTATTACATCGGTCATGTCATACGAGAATCAGGCAGGTGGCTAATATGGTCCTTTGAAGAAAGAACCATACAGATGTGAGTGGACAACTAAGTACTTTTTAGGATTCCGTACCCGAAGGGTAACCAGCAGGGCCCTATTACGAAGCCTCCGCTGTCCGTGTGTCTGTCTGTCAGCGGGCTGTATCTCATGATCCGTAATAGGTAGATGGTTGTAAGTTTTCACAGAACGTGTGTTTCTGTTGCCGCTATAGCAGCAAATAGTAAAAATAAATTTGAAATTAAAGGGTTTCCTACTAGAAAAAGAAACGTGTATTTTTGGCTTTTTTGATCGATAGTAATATGTATATTTAAATCTTGTAAGATGGTACGGAAGCTCGGAAGTCCGATTCGCACTTGGCAAATATTTGTTTATATTTAACCTTACCTCAGACATACTCATATTTTTATATATAATTTACTATACTACTATATAAGCTACTACCAAATAAAATAGTAGTAGCTTTGTTATGGTATTATAGTATATTTTGGATTAGATTTAATATATACTACAGAATAATACGAACTATATAAAAACTAAGGAGCGCATCAACCTAACTCAGATGTTGGGTTATGAATACAGATAAGTACACATAGGATTTTGTTTCTAACTTGTACATATTTTATAGGATTCGTTATGAATAGCATAAACAGGCTAAGCCCCCTAGCCTACAAACGTTTCGTAACGAATCTCTTTGTACAATCGCGCCTTTTATTTGTTTGTACTGACCACCTGACTCATTCAGTGATGTCGTTCTCATGCAGTCTTTAGTTTTCAACTAGCGTTATCTATCATAAAATAAATCAAAATTTTATTTATATTTCGCTAATTGTGTCTGTACTGTGAATTTGATTTACAATCGATCTCTAAATTGTAGTTTTCTTCTAATTACTTACCTTGCCTAGACGTGTTCTTTGGACTTCTGTAAGGAAGTCTGTGCTGTTAGTATTCCATTTAGGTACGTTACTATTTTGATAGACGTTTGTGCTTGTCCCTGCAGTGACAAAATTCCTATTGTTGATAACTTTCTGAGTACTAAGAGATAATTGCAAACCGCTATTGAACACAAACAATCAATAAACAATTTACAAACTAACATTTTTTATTTATTTAATTAACCTAACCCATAAAAGCCATACTCACATCAGTCGCGCTGTCGAAAAAGCAGTTGTCCTGACACTGGCTGACATATATTTCGGGGAGTTGCCTGTGGGCTATTATAGCTAACTAGCTATGGTAAGTAAATAGCTATTTAGAATACATAGTACCTACAGTAATATTTGCATAACGTACAATAAAATACAAAAACATTAAAAAAAAAACAATTATTTTACACTTTTTTCTGTTTGTTTTAGAAGTCGGTTATTTTTTTTTTGCAAAAAAAAGTTTTTAATGCTACTTTAGTTGAGATTTATGTCCCTTTAGTGGGTACAGGCATATCAGCAATCGCGGTTGATTTGCTGTCATTTATTGAAGAGTTCCGTCGATTTCTCCAAGATCCCTTCATCAAATCCCGACCTGACCAACATCGATTACCGTAGGATCATCTGGAAAGTAAATTCTTTCAAACAAAAAAATAATTTTCCAAAACATAAACAAAACCAACGAATTGAGAACCGCCTCCTTTTTTCGAAGTCGGTTAAAATTTAAGTAAAAACAAATCAATGAAATTATTATATAATAACAACATCTACTTATATTCACATAAGAACTTTCATAATAACAACTAAATTGGGTTCATAATAATTACGTTTCACACAGCATCACACAGATCCTAAGTTCTAATAACACCAATTTGTTTCCTTTCCTCTCTTCTCTCTTTTTAAAATACGTTACCCCCCTCAGTAGGATTTTCTCCTGTATCGTGGAGGCAGTTTACACACATAAATTGCACAAGGACAAACATACAGACCCGGAACAAATATTTGTAGGCCATACGAATATTTGTTCCGTGCGGGAATCGAACCCGCGGCCCCCCAGTGCACCCACTCATTGCTAAGCCACTGCGCCATGGAGCTTTCTCAATTATCGTTTGAATTTATGTTGTCATTTAAAGAATCGCATAGGTAGGTACGCGATGACGCCGTCGCACATTGCGTCACTCAGGAGTGTGTATGTGTGTGTGCACTAGCTTCTTACTGTTCATCACAGCGTTTATCCCTTTCGCACGTGATGTCGCCTGAGATAGCATGCATTTTAACCCAGCCCACCATTTAGTTCATGACATCGACTAGGGCAACCTTAAAATATTAATTAGGATTGGGTAAGTATTGTAAGGCACTGACAATATTATAGAGTCGCCTCTCTATAATTCTCCGTTTTAATTAAATTGCCAGTTGCCTGGCAGACATCGTGACCTGGCTGTCTAATGATTTTATTAAACATTTAAGAGCTATACCTAATCCTACCCATTCAAATATTTGAAGCGTATAGGTAATATACCTAACTACTGCATTTTGGGATACTCGAAACTCAATTTGGGATACTCGAA